CTGGACTGGAAAGTCGCCAGAGCCGGCCTGGAAACTCCACCAAAGCAGTTTCCCACAAGATTGGAATCTCCAGCTTGCGGGCAAATGGATGTGCCGGATCATGTTCTCTGGGCCCGGGCTGGTCGGATTGGATGTCAAGTCACACCAGCTGCATACCAACTACCCTAATCCGGTCGTGGTTAAGGGCAATGAAGTACAGGACTCGGGCTGCAATGACTGTTTCCACATGCCCTGTCCCCGAGATGTGGATTACCCCACTGGTGGTCTTTTTGCTTTTGTGGTCTTGGACGGGCGCAGTGTCGGCTCCCCCATCCGTGCAACCACCCGTCAGCTCCTCCGAACTCAGGCTGCAGCAGAGTGGAGACTGCGCAAAGTGCAGGGCAAACTCGCCATGCAAGCCGAGGAAGCATTCAGCCCTGCCTTGGACATGAGGTTCTTCGTTCGGGCTGAAGTCCCGTCCCGTTTTGCGCGCTGGCTCCTACCTGAGGATGCGGACAGAAACACAATCGATCTTTCTCGCATGCTGTACCGCTGCCACAGAGCCATTGGGGGCTCCTGGACGGAACAACTCAAGACGGATGTCAGCTTGGCCAGATTGGCCCAAGCATGGGCACACACCCACCGTCAGTCCTCCCCGAGACTATGCCCACTTTGCGTCCAAGAAGCAGGCGCCCCTCGGCATGCAATCATGACCTGTGAGGCTCTTCGCCCCCTGTCGGACAAACTGAGGTCGGACATGGAGCTTCTTTTGGTCAGTGTGGCGGGGAGGGAGCACCTTATACAGGCAGCTGACGCATGGCGAGACAAATGCACACGCCAAGGACGGGGGCACTTGATACCCCCGCCGTCTGCCGAGGACCTGGACCGATGGCCCGTATTGGCAGCCTGGCGGTGGATGGTTGATCTCCCGGCTCGCCACGCCCTCCTCAGTCAGGACACTGGTGGCCATAGTGCTGCAGCCGTGTCGCATGAGCATGCCTGGGACATGGGCTACAGAGCAGTTCTGCCCAAGGAATTGGGACAGGCATTATGCTCGGAATACTCCCACCCTCCCACCTTTCCCCCCGAAGACTTCGCCGTATGGAGACAGCCAGACCTCGCCAATTCGGAAGCAGACGCCGCCCCCACGTTACAGCGTAAGGTGGAGCCCGCGCTGAAGGTAGTCACCTTGCTACTCCTCGGATTGCGTCGTATTCGAGCTGAATACGCCAAGCGCATCAAATCTTGGAAGGAGCTCCAACTTATTGCGGAGCAGCAGCTGCTGCCTGTTCAGATCCCGCCCGCACCTCCCCCTGGGGCCGCAGATCAACGCGCGCCCACAGTGCTGGATGGCTGGATAGCTTCCGACACTGCTCAACAGACCCTACGAGAACTCCGATGGAAGGCGCCCAGCCCGTCAGTTCTTCTTGCTCGATTACGTGCCGAAGTTCCGGCATGCCGGCTCTCTGAAGAGCGTGCTGTGCTACGCATGGCCTCAGCCGGCGTTCCCGTTACAACATCCGGCCACATCTCTTGGGGTGGCGTCTGGCCATCGCTCACAGACCTGTATTCTGCATTGCACACCCTTTGTCATTGTGATACAGAACCGCCCCTTGCAATCGCTGGCTGCTGGACCTGCGGGGGAATTCAGCTGCCCAGGGCTCCCCTCCCACGTGCATGTCTTTGGTGCAAAACCCAAGCAGCGGGTATTCCCTGCCGGAACTGTGGTCAAATGATACACGAGATCAGGACTTGCACATGGAACCGCGGAGCCAACCCCCTGTACGCCTCCTCCGCGGTCGGAGCTCCTACACTGTGCCCGGACTGCGTTTGGGTCCTGCGAGAGGCGATACTAAACATGCCGCGCCCTCCTGCTGCACCAGCTACCGAGCCGGGTTTGCTAGACCACCTACAAGCGGCTGCCAATGCGGTGTGCCCAGGCGCGGGAGCCAACACCTTCCTGGCTAACACAGGGAACAGACAGCGGGTGCGTCGCTGGTGTCTCCGCCACTTGACGCTCGGCTGGACCGCCTACCGCATCATCTTGAGCGAGGCGCGGGCGCACTTTACAGGCGTGGAAACTCCCGACCCCCTCCTCCGGGCTGCCCTCGATTACTGGTGCCGGCGTGAGGCCGCGCAACAATGCTGCCTACATGGTGTCCTGCACTTCCGCCTGCGACCGGAGACGTAGTCGCAGCCATAAGAAAAGCAGTGCTGCGCGCAGGATGAGATGTCCTCCTGGCCCACAGCCCAGAGTTACACCATTGCATACCTACTTCAGACTCGATAAGAGGCGCCAGGCTACAGCTACGAGCCCCCCCGTACGGAGAAGCACCATTTTGTTACGGACTACAGGCCCTTGTTGAGACCGCTCTTGGCCCCAAGCCAGAGAAACAAATTCGGTAGTGGACATCCGCCCCGGCCCCCCCCCCCCCTGCAGCCTCCCTCCCAGTAAAAAAGCACCATTGTGTTGTAGACCGCTGGCCGCCCCTGCAGAATACAAGCGCCATGTTGGCTCAGACTTCATGCCCCCCCCCCCGATGTTTGTTCCCACCCGGATCCACAGTGCAGAGAAGCACCATTTTGTTACGGACTACTGGCCTCCACTTCCCGAGTGTGCCCCTGGCCATGGTCAAAGACTTCACTTGTGCCTGCGGCAGACGTTACACCTGCAAGAACGCCGAGTGCGCCAGGGTCACCAAGTTCAAATGCGAGAAGCAGCATTTCAAGCCTCCATCTCTCGACTTGGAGGGAGGGCCCATAGCAGTGGCTAACATCCTGTGGGTGGTATTGTCCAACCTATCCAACAAGCATCATGCAAGAACCCTCCGGGCACAACTGATAGATGCTGGTGCCGTCGCGGACACGATCCTCGTCAAACATGGTTTTGAGTTTGGACACAAGGATGGTCACCGCCAGCTGGGGCACACGGAAATCTGCATGTACAGTTTCCGCTACCGCTGGCTCCCCAGAGTGCAACAAGCGCTCCAGCAGTTCTCACACATTCGCTGTGTCGTCTACCTGGAGTGCACGGCCCGCTTAGCCTTCAGCTCAGTGCAGGAAATCTGCCCCACCGTCAACGGTGACTGCGCGGCCGATATCTTTTGGTTGGGCTACCGCAAGTCTCATCGCCCGAGTGAGTTCCGCAACGGCCACTCCAAGTTTGTCTACGAGGGATCTAAAATGATCGCCTTCAGGAAGCAATCTCTACGTCTCGTGTACGAGCATCTGCTCAGCACGAAGAGGTACTGCCATCTGGACCTGTGGCTGTGCCGGATCCTTGATCCCGCTTCCTTCTTCGTCCCACTGGTCTCCTGGACCACCTCGGCAGCTCACTCCTCCGTGTGTGGTGGCTCCCGTGACGGGCCTATCAAACGGCCACGCGAAGATGCGGGGACAAAACAGAGAAGATGTGCTTTCTGTTTTCTTGCCGTTTGCGCTTGGACCGGCGCTCAACGCTCATCACCATGTGTGCAGAATCTATCTGCTGCCTCTGCCTTGCTTGCTTGCTTGCCGGCTTTGCGTGGGGCCATGACGTTTTCGGAGCCCTGCGCCCCACTTGCGTCTCAACCTTCGGGCAGAGACAACGTGGGTGCCCATCTCTCTGCCCAGAGATGTTCTCTCTCTCTCTCTCTCTCTCTCTCTCTCTCTCTCTCTCTCTCTCTCTCTCTCTCTCTCTCTCTCTCTCTCTCTCTCTCTCTCTCTCTCTCTCTGTCGTGAAAGAGTATCGTTATATGAATGACGTGATGGATGGCGTGATAGATTTGATGGATTTCGTTGCGTGGTGGACTTGGTGGGTTTTCCTCCTAAAATTAATTTGTTTTAAAGCACGGGGTAGGGTTGGCGGGAGCCGCCGCACCTTGTTAAAAAAGTGGAAGAACGACAGCCCTCTGCGTGTTTTGGTGTTGCCGAAACGCCAAAAATGATGACCCTCTGCGTGTTCTTGCCGTGTCGTGATCGCACGAACGACAACCCTCTGCGTGTTTGGGCGTTGTCGAAACGCAAAAACGATGACCCTCTGCGTGGACGCGGGGTGTCGTGATCGCACGAACGACAACCCTCTGTGTGGCGTTGTCGAAAATGGATTTCGTGAAACTTCTTCGTTGTCGTCCTTGATCGTTGTTGACGCAAGGATGGATGTCGTCGTGGATGGATGTCGTCATGGGTGTCGTGTTGGATGTCGTGATGGATGATGATTTCTTAAAATATGTTAAAACATGTCAAAAGATTTCTTAAAATAATGAGGTCTTAATCGCGACTCTAACATGCTTTCGGGACAACCGTTCTCCCGTTATTTTTAATCTTCTAGCCGGAGCATCAAGCGTGCTAACTTTGAACTCGCTGCTCTGACCCGAAGCTGTAAGCCTCGAAGCCCCTTCCAACGCCCGAAGCTGGAATGCCCCGGCAAGCCTTGCAAAAGCCCTGCGCTTTGTGGTTTTTACCCTAAGCCCTAAACCTTAAACCCTAAACCCCTAAAGCTCGAAATGCATCCTCCCTGACTTGCTGGACACTGCCAGGACGTCGCGGATGCCCCCGCTGTGCTTGCAGGAGCCTGAGCAGGGTTCCCCTAAACCCTCAAAAGGCTTTGACACAGAGGTTTGAGGGCTTTGGGGGTTTCGCCTGACTACTTCGAATGTTTGTCGTTTAGGGCTTCGGGTTCGGAGTCTGGAGTCTAGTGAGCAGCCAGCGGCGCTTTTGATACAAGGAGTGGCTCCGGATTCCCCGCGCTGTAACAAAAAGCCCTTTGCTACGCTGCTACGCATGTGGGAGAAGAGTTTCGCATAGCCCGGGAGCTGCATGCGCCTCTCTCCCCCCTCATGGTGGTTTTAACAAAAATAGGGAACCTCGAAGATAGTCCCCAAATGGTAGGATTCCCTTACAATAAGGACCCCAATAATGTACCCCTAATCTCGGAACCCCCCTCATGCCCCCAGCCTTATAAACCCTGCAAGGTGAGCAAGTGCATCGCCCGCCTTCACGCGCACCGCAGTGGAGCGTGCTCCGAAAGCCTCAAAGCGCTGATGGCCAAAGGCCCCCCCAGTCGGAGACATCTTTTCTGAGACCTTATTTTTAGCGTTGAGGCCTTCCCTTCCTTCACCTGGGGGGGGGGGGTTAGGTCCCCCACCCCAAAACCGCGCAATCCTTGAAATTTCAAGCCGCCGTAAGTGGAGACTCCCAATCCGAAATCGAGTTGCGGGTTGGGGCTTAGGTCCCACAATGTGTTGCAGAGCCTCCTTTCAAGCGCCTCCGATGCGCTTTCTAGCAAGTATCGCCCTTTCTAGCAAGCATCTGTATCCTTTGGAGCTTTGGCAGTTTTTCAGTCCGGAAGCTTCATGGACTGCCATCCCCTTCCAAAGCCTTCGCACACCTTTCCAGGTTCCTAAAGGGCTCACCTGCACGGCCCCCTTCGCATCTGTAGGAGCTCAGGTTGGGGCGTTCAGTACTGAAAGGGCCGAAGCTCAACTTCGCCCCAGCAAGCCTTCAAACCTTCCAATCTTGGCAGGCCTCACAGGAGGAGGGTTTTGCTTGTCTGACAATGAAAGCGCGGCCCCTTGCATGACAGGACCAGAAATTTCGCAAACCCAAACATCCTCCGAAACCTTCAGGCAAGCTCTCCCGGCAGCGCTCCCGCGCCAGCGCGGGCGCGGGCGAGGCGCCCGCCCGCGGCCGAGAATCCCTGGCCAGCCGGCTCCGGGCCTCCGTCGCGCACGGCTGGCCGGGCCCCAGGAAGTTCGGGTCTGGGGTCCGGCACGAATGTGGGATTTGTTCGGCCTGAAAGAGCGGCTGAGGGTTGAAGGCGAAGGCCCAAGGTGGAGCAACAGCTTCGACGGTCGAGGTAAGGGTTTCATGAAGGTTTATGGGCTGCCCCGGCTCTTCCTCCCAACATATGACTGCAACCGTTCAAACTTACCCTTGTGGCCAGAATGTTGGCAGAGGAGCCGGGTCTTGGGTCCAGCACTTAGACTTAGAGACGCCCAGGACCCCAAGCCCACGGCGCAAAGCCCGAAACCCTAATAACTACTACCCGGCTCATTTCATCGTAGGAGCCCGGAAGCCCCGCCTCAATCTGAACTTCTGGAACCGGTGAGCTGCAAGCCTTCAGCATGATTTCTCGAGGTCTGTGGTCAACGCGAACATTGACCAGCTGAAGCTGACTTTGCGACTTGGCTCGAGTTTCGGATTCAGGGTCTCGGGCTGGATTGGGCCTCAGGGCTCAGGGAGTTTGCAGAAATGTGGATCCGGTTGCGGTCCGCAAATCCCAAGAGCTCTCCCTTCGGACAAGTCGCGGCGCCCTGCATGCTCCCACCCCCCAATCCACTTTTCTGGTGGTGGCCCCCGCATGAGCAAGATTCTAAACCCTAAGCCCTAAACCCTAATCCCTCATCCCTAAACCCTAAACCCTAAACCCTAAACCCTAAGCCCTAAGCCCTAAACCCTAAACCCTAAACTCGCACTCCTCTGACTCCTCTCCCCGAACATCCCAAGGCAGAGCCTCCAGGACCGCTGGGATGTGCACGGCCAGGGCATTTGGGCCGTGGAGGCCATGGAAGGACAGCACCAAGATAGCGAACGACCGAACCCTTCGCCCCCTCACCCGAACCCCAAACCTTAAGCTCCCTGGCCTTAAACTCTAAACCTTAAACCCTAAACCCTTAACCCCAAACCCCAAATTCTAAACCTAAACCCTAAACCCTAAACCCTAAACCCTAAACCCTAAACCCTAAACCCTAAACCCTAAACCCTAAACCCTAAACCCTAAACCCTAAGCCCTCTTGAGGCTTTTCTGACCAGCTCCTGGTGCCGGCGGATTCTGATCCTCTTCCCGGCGCTCCACCCCTGGCGGGCGTTGGCCCTCTTCAGCATGCGACCTTCCTTGAGCTCGAGGGTTTAGGGTGGCAGGTTGGGATGCTCCCCCTAAGAATAGCAGTCCTTCATAGGGACTATTGAATTGTACCCCCCATTACAATCCCAATTCAGGACTGTTAGCATAATAGAACATCCCAAGCGACAGGGCCTTGCGATTGAAGGTTTGAGGGCTCTTTGGGGCATTGTGGGGTTAGGGCGCCAGAAGGACAGGATGAGAGTTCTGGGCTGGGTTTGGGGGTCGGGGTTCGCAGCGTTGGCTCTGATATCACGAAGCGATCAGCGCCACAATCGTCCTTTGTGATCCGACTTTCAACCAACGCCATTACATCTTCAGTGGCAACTGTGAGTTCTAAGTGCAACCACGTAGCATCAAAGCTCGATGACTGCAAGCACCAAGGCCCCACACTCGAAACCACGGGTTTAGGGTTCAGGTTTTAGGGTTTAGGGTTCCCAAGCTCCAGGCCCGTCCCAGTGGCCTCTACCAAGAAATGTCAAAGCCCAAGAAGCCCCCCGAGGTTCACTCCTCACTGTGTCCGCGTCGCACTCCTCGACATGAACCTCGACGAATGGTGTAGGGTTCAGGGTGTTCGGTGTTTTTGTGGCAAGCCTGACAGGTTTGATGAGACGATTGAAACCTATCCGAATCTGAAGGCAAGCATCATCCCAGCTCCACATCTCATTGGTTACCCCAAGCCCAAAGCCAGTCGTCGCCGTAGTCTTTAATTCTGACTGGTTATACTCATTTGCGGTACGATTTCTAACTTTTTAACCCTTATCATAACTACCCGTGGACCTTCAAGTGCTTAGTAGCTGAGTAGGTGGCCTTGAACAGTTTTGGGCATATATAATCCCACCTTAACTGAAAGGTTAACCTTTGTGGGCCCAGGGTACTCAGCAACTAAGAGTGAGCTCCTACACCCTCAACCCTAAACCCTAAACCCCAAGCTAAACCCTAAACCCTAAACCCTAAACCCTAAACCCTAAACCCTAAACCCTAAACCCTAAACCCTAAACCCTAAACCCTAAACCCTAAACCCTAAACCCTAAACCCTAAACCCAAGAAGAGCCAAGGAAGATCATGAGCGCTGCCGCCGCCAACGCGGTGTTCTTCCAAAGCACGGCGCAGCCGCAAGACGTCGACCCGCGGTGCGCCAAGCCCCAGGATGCTGGGGGTTTTTAGGGTTTAGGGTTTAGGGTTTAGGGTTTGGGGTTTAGGGTTTGGGGTTTAGGGTTTAGGGTTTAGGAGGAAGGGTTTAGGGTTTAGGGTTTTCAGATCCGTGGAATTTGGGATTGGGGCCGATGGCGTTGGACCGGTGCTTGGGAGAGAGGCCTACAGTCATGTTTTTGGGAGTCGTGGTTCGGGCTCATGATGTGTCCAGGGTTCCTCAAGCCCTACAGCCCAAGCCTGAAAACCTTAGCCCCCCAGAGTGTAAACCTTGTCAGCCCAAAGTATGACAAACTGGTTGAGGGTTTAGGGTTGGGCCCTGCCAGGACATGCTGATACGCGTCGTAACGGCTTTCACAGTTGGGGTGGTCACGGCCCTTCTGGGCGACGTGCTGATCGTGGTGCTGCTGCTTATTCAGAGGTGGAGGGCTCTGGGCTCTTGAGCTGGGTTTAGGGTTCAGGGTTTAGGGTTTAGGGTTTCGGGTTGAGGGTTTAGCGTTCCGGGTGCGTTTCGGTCGTGGCTTCAACAAGGGTCACTTGGGATATACGAACAGTCCTTCATAGTTAAGGACTGTTAGTACAGGGTGTTTTCAGTAACCCAAAACCCAAGAACCCAAAACGCAAAACCCAAGCCCTAAACCCTAAACCCTAAACCCTAAACCCTAAACCCTAAACCCTAAACCCTAAACCCTAAACCCTAAACCCTAAACCCTAAGCCCTAAACCCTAAACCCTAAACCCTAAACCCTAAACCCTAAACCCTAAACCCTAAACCCTAAACCCTAAACCCTAAACCCTATAAACCCTAAACCCTGAACTTCCTTGCTTCAGGCGGAGGGTGGTGGAGAGGGAGGAGTGGACGCCGGCCCAGATCTCTCAGCAGAGGCGGCGTTGGTTTTGGAGGAGATGCCTGTCCGTCGGCTTCAGGTAGGGTTTAGGAGGGTGTAGGGTGTAGGGTTTAGGGTTGAGGGTTCAGGGTCAAGATCAAGACCAGGTGTCTATAAATGCTGGATGAAAGCGACCTCTTAAACCCGAATATCATTGAATGTTGATGACAGTCCATTCAGTATTTTTTGTATTCTTGTAGGAATATTGCTGAACGTTTATCACTTCTGCAACGTTGCTACAGCCCCGAGCAAGACCACTCCACCCAGGTTCTGGGCCATCTGGATCCCGCACAAGTGTGTCTGCGTTCTTTACGTCTCCGTCTTCCTGGCCAGCGTCACCCTGCTGGATGCGCAGAAGTGGCTGGAGAGCACGGCCGTGAGCCTGCTCCAGGAGTGCTCGCTTTTCCCGTAAATTCGAAACGCGAATGCAAGACCCTCAGCCCGCCCTCGTCTTCGCTGCCTCTCAAGCGTCTTGCTTGCCGGGTGATGTTCTTATACAGTGATTTAAGGCCAACCCTCAGTCAGATTGCATTAGCGAAGTGTCTTCTCTTTCGTGTGCAGATATGACAGCGCTGCAGCAGAAGTACGGTTCGCTATGCTAAAGCCCCAATAACTAGTGCATTGTGATGATGTAGAGGTTGCACTAGTGCTCGCAACGCGAATGTGTCAGCTCGCTCCAGGACTGCTTCCTGAAACCATTGCGCCTCGGTTCTTCCTCGGCGGAGCTTTCCGATGTTTCTAAGGCAGATCTCGAGAACCTGAAGCCTCGGACGATTCTGAAGCTTTGGTCCCGGGGCCTCTGGTAGAGTCTGCGCTAGCGACCCCCCAAAGCCCAAGAAGCTCAAGCTCTTAAGGCTTTCGAGGGGGGCCTTGATGCTTTCAATATCATTTCATAATTCTAATATGAATATTAACAATCTATCTTTAATTTTAACGCTACGCGACCCGCCTCGGCCCGGCCCAGCGCATCCGCGTGAGCATGGTGATTCCGCAGCGCCCAAGTCGGGTTTAGGGTTCCGGGTTTATGGTTTATGGTCTGGGGTTTAGGGTTGAGGGTTAGTTTAGGATTGAGGGCTTAGGGCTCAGGTTCTTGCTTTGGGGTTTAGGGTTTTTTTGGGTTTAGGGTTCAAGAGACGGTTCGGCTTGGATTGATCGTAGGGTTGAGCCAGGCCCCTCAGGGGGGGTAGGGGTGGAGGGGGAAGGGGGGCAGAGGGGAAAGGGGGGGGGGAGCTAAGATTGAAGGTTTCGGGTTTCGGTTACTCTTCGTCCCCGGAGTTGAGCCTCGAAAACCGGGGGGCGAGGTGGGGGGAGGGTGGGGGGGGGGTGGGGGGGGGAAAGGGGGGGGGGGGCCCGCTGGGAGGGCTTCAACTGCCTCTGGTTTTGGCGAACCGTCCGCTTGCGGACCCCGGTTTCCCAGGGGGGGTACCCATTTGAGGCAAAAAAGGGGGGCCTCGGCGGATTTGCGGCCGTGCTCACACCAGTGAGCCTCCGGCCCTCAAGCCAGCGCGTCGGAGCAGGAAAACTCCGCCTTTCACAAACACCTTATGTGAGCAAGCGCCAAAACCCCCAGCCATTCAATTAAGCAAGGGGAAAACCCTGTAAAACGATGGGAACACTTGAAAAGCGACCTCTTGTTGCGTCCATTAGCACCTCGAGCCCAGCCGCTCATGTGGCTTTTGGGGGGAGGGACTATGTGGGGGGGGTGGGGAGGGGGGGTCGGGTAGGGGGGGGGGAGGGGGGGGGGGGGGGGGGGGGGGGGGGGGTAGGGGGGGGGGGGGTAGGGGGGGGGGGGGTAGGGGGGGGGGAAGGGTGAAAAAGGCTGGGAAGGGCTGCAACTGCCTCTGGTCCTGGCGAACCATCCGCTTGCGGACCCTGCTCACCTAGGGGGGGTACCCATTTGAGGCAAAAAAAGGGGTCCGAAAAAGGGCTTTGGGTTCTGACTACCAATACACCTTCGGCCCGAGGCCTCGGCGGATAGTATGAACATTAGTCATACTAGGGGCATCAGAGGGGGGTCCCTCAATGCCCAGTTGCGTGGCCGCGCTCCTCGGCATCCTCTCGAGCCTCTTCCTGGCCTGCATGCCCCGGGTGAAGGAGAAGGTGCCTCTTAGAGCTTGTGTTGCCCCTTGGAAAAGTCCCCAGTCCCCTAAACCCTAAACCCTAAACCCTAAGCCCTAAACCCTAAGCCCTAAATCCTAAGCCCTAAACCCTAAACCCTAAGCCCTAAACCCTAAACCCTAAACCCTAAAGAGTTGTCTAGTGGCCCTTTTAGAGCCCTTTGTGGGGCCCGAAGATCTCTTAGAGTCTCTGAAAGGCCCCTTTGCAGCCCTTGATGGGTGCTCCAGGATGGGACTTTCTGGGGCCCTTTTGCTTTTGAAAGTGACCGCCTGGGTCGACGTCGTCACTATTTTGACTTTGATGCCTAAATGTTGCCTAAGCTCGCTAGCTCCGCACAGCCGATGCTGGAAATGATCTCTAAGTCAGAACCAGGTGCGAGCGGAGTGGCTGAAAGAAGAGGAGGCGGAAGAGCATGGTGAGGAGCAGTAGATGCATGTGAAGTAGTAAGTAGGGTTGTGTTTGTAAGGTTCCTTTTTAATATTGGTGAGTGTATGTATTTGGTGTCCTTTGGGGGGTACAAGAAATATAAACCCAATGTGGTTCAGGCTTTGGGGGTGCCGAATTGGGCCACAGGGCCTTATAGGATTTAGGTCTTTGGTTGTAAACGCTTGCGCGCGCCGTCTCAGCAGCCGGGCCGGTGTGCACATCGCGAAGGACGAAGTCACGCGTCGCTTTGTGCATACAGCGCCACGCGCGTCGTGAGTTCAGGAGGTAGGAGGGAGGTGGTTTAGGGCTTAAGGGTGGTCCCCGGAGGGTTTGATCCGAGGAACGAGGATCGAGCTAAAGGGGGGCCCCCTGCCGAGGTGAGTTTTGGGGCTTTAGGATTCTGGGCTCTTGGTTTTCAGGATGTTGGGTTTTGGAAGAAAGACAAAAGTGACGGTTTAGACCAGCAGGAGGTCTCCAAGCCCAACATGTACACGACTGCAGACACTCGCGTCTTCGATGACAGCGACTCCTCTCCCGAAGATGCCATTGAGGTTCAGTCGGTCGCGAGCCACGACGTGAGGGCACGAGAGTTCTGTGCTGTACTACCAGGTGCCCCTCAAGAGAATGTCACGTCAGCGAAGGACTGAGCGACCATGAACGCCTGGGAGCCTAGCGGCATTTGTAGTTTTTCCAATGGTCGGCTTGGGTCGCCACATGCGAAAGCAGTGGCTTTCATGGCCCCGTTCTCAAAGTGATAACGATGCAGGCGCGGCAGAATCAAGAATTGGTTGTGCTTGGCGTCAGCAAGTGTTGTGCCGCTGCTCTTTGTGATGCAGCCGTGCAGTGTAAATGTCCTAGGGGCCGGAAAACCCACACCTAGAAATATGCAGATCTTACGGGGCATGAGGTTTGGGGGTTCTCCACGGCCCCCTATGTGCTTTAACTGCTGATGCTTGCTTGCCTCACTCTTTGTGGACACCGCCGATTTCATTGGGACTTGCGCGGTGGTCGGCAAGCACCCAAGCAGCAACCTGTGACGCCTTCAACTTAAAGGCTGGGTAGTTCATCTTTAAACTTTCTGGTGGTATAGAATTCTACTATCTATAGAAGGTTAGCCCTTTTTTGGGCTAGGGTATTCAGCTTCTAAGTCAAGGCTTTAGGTTTACGGGCGCGACGGCCGCTCACCATGGGCTTTCCCAACACCTTTGATGAAGGCATCGCGTGACATAGGCAGCAGCTTTACTGCGTGCCCCCCAGCCTTAAGGCTCGGGGTGCTAGCAGAAAATTGCTGCAAGAAACTCGGGATCTTTGCGCCATGGTGTTTGCCCTTGGCAAAAAGGCCAGAACCTTGAACCTTTCCTGTCATTCCTCGATGCGAGTTGGACTTCAGGGCCCTTTCGGGTTTGCCGCTTCGGGTTTCGGGTTTCGGGTTTCGGGTTCGGGTTTCGGGTTTCGGGTTTCGGGTTTGGGGTTTCGGGTTTCAGCTTTGGGGTGTTCCGTGTGAGCCTTGATTCATGCACCGTTACGACATGCTCCGGCTTGCATCTGAGGTCCTCGTTTTGAGAGCTGAAGCGTGATTAACTCCTCTATCATCAAATCCACAAGCACCACAACATCCTAACCCCCACGAGCCATAAATCCCAAACCCTAAACCCAAAGTGGTGAACCCCGTTAAACCCTAAACCCTAACCCCTAAACCCTAAATGCTAAACCCTAAACCCTAAACCCTAAACCCTAAACCCTAAACCCTGAACCCTAAACCCCAAACCCCAAACCCCAAACCCCAAACCCTAAACCCTAAACCCTAAACCGCCGACCCGGCCCGAACTCCGCCGTGGCATCGAAGCCCTGGACCGTGAGTCCCCGCAAAAGGGCACAACAGCCTTGAACCATCTTGACCCCTAAGGTTTAGGGTTTAGGGTAGGGTTTAGGTGCCAAACCACACAAGGCGCTCCAAGCCGGGTTAAAGCCCAAGTTCCTCAACTCCAACACGTTTCAACGGTTTGGGGTTCAAACGGTTGCGGCTTGTAGTCAGCACAGCACTCCGAGTGTTGGCAAAGACCTCCCGATGCCATGGAAGCTGAAGCTGTGGTCGTCGGCGTTCGCGTGAGGCTTCCGGCATCCGAAATTTACGGAAAGAAATTCACGGCCTGACCACCGAACTCTCGTCCCCTTGTATTCTGCACCCCAACACGAACTCACCCCAAGCCACTGAGCCCTGCAGAACGCACATCCTTAGCCTTAATCCTTGAACCCCTTTGAGATCCTTTGAGCCCCTTTGAACTGCTTTGAACCGCTTTGAACCCCTTTGAACCCCTTTAACCCCTTGAAGCTAACCCCCTCAAACCCCTTCAGCCCCCGAACGCTAGGCCCCTAATCTCGAAGCCCTAAGCCCGAAATCCTGACGCTCCAAGCCCGAAGCTGCCAAGCGGCCAAGCGGCCAAGCCGCCGAGACAGGCCCTTCAACGACCGCGAGCGTGGTCTGAACGCGGTGCGATGCATCGACATGGAAGGCGGACCCGGAAGATATGCTCTAGTGGTCGGGGGTGGGGCGGTGGGGGGGTGGGGGGGTGGGGGGGTGGGGGGTGGTGGGGGCTCTTCTTGTTTGTCTTTGGAGGGTTTCAGGGGCCCCAAACGGCCCTGCACAATCGAAGCCCACTTCACGGGGCCGAATGCTTGTGTACTTGATATCTGGGTTTCTGTTGTTTAGCTGCTGAGTGGTCTGCAAGCGGCACTCGGCCCAAGCATCAGACCTTTCTAATTGGATCCTTGCTGTCGCAGTCGGAGTATTGTTATGGTGGCTTCTCATGCAAATTTGTTTGTGCCAGAGCATGATGCGTTGATTTTGGCTGGCATGCGTACTCCAGGCTTCTTTCTTGTCTTTTTTACGCTGCAGCTGCCACTCGACCCAAATGAACCTACCAACTTGCTGCAAGGTCATGAGCTACACCGCACAACCCAACTTGCTGCAAGGTCATGACCTGACAACAGACGTGAAGGTGTTGGGGTAGTGAGGCTTCCGTTCACAATTCAGGACTTGGGCGCGGGCTGCCAAGCTCCAGGTTGTGACCACCCTGAGCCTCTCTAGGCCGAAGCCAGCCCCCCCCAAGACCAAAGAAACCTACGAGCCAAACCATAAAGTGCTCGAGAAGCTCAGCAAGTCGCCCATGCAAATTGCACACACAAAACCAGCGAATGCGTCACCTGAATCCGACACAACTATAAACGCACGCAAAGCTTTACATCCTCAGGGCCCACCACGCTGATCCGAAATGTGGACACAGGCGATGAGAAGACGTCGCATGGCGGCACCTGGATCTGACACACCAGTTTCAGACGTTCCCCTCCCTGTCGCAGCACCCCTATAGGACGAGAAACGCACTCCTCAGGTTACTCTCCAAACCATGAAATAAACCTCTCAACGCTCAGTACGAAATACCATTCCAAGCCGGGAAAACAACTTAGCAAATGAATCCGAGGTTCACCTTCGACGAGTCGTTTTGGAGCTCCGTGGCTGCGTTTGTTTAGGGTTTAGGGTTTAGGGTCTAGGGTTTAGGGTTTAGGGTTAGGGTTTAGGGTTTAGGGTTTAGGGTTGGGCATGTCATGAGTACAGGAGGTGTAGGGTCCAGGGCTAGGGGTTCTTTCCGGGTTTAGGGCACGCAGCTCTTTCGCAGGTCACGACGGCTTCGAGGATGACGGCACTGGGTACCTCCGTCCCGTGCCCAACAGCCGCGGGGCCCTGTTTTGATCTCAGGGAGAAAGATTTTCCCAAGTTTATGGGGACTCCTTTTTTGGGTTATCGGGGTTTTTACGGCCTTGCCGTCGAGTTCGGGGGCGAGTTGAGGGTAGAAGGAGTTGAATGGAGTTGACATGGTGCAGGGCTTTTACAAGAGCATGTGGAGCTTATGCCAGCCAAGGCAAATATGCTGATCAGAGGTACGTGTGGGGAGCTCAGATCCTTTAGCCAGGAGGGATGCGGGCTTCCAGTAGATCTGGTGTTCCTTCTTGAAAGGGGGGACTTGGGGCTTAGGCCCGCGGGGTAAAGGGTTTGTTGAGTTTGGGCTTCAGGCAGTTCAGGGGTGCAAGGCCGTGTAAGGTCCCGAAGCACCAAAACCCTCAAACCCAAGAACCCCAGAGCCTCCAGTAGCTTAAAGCCAGGGCAACACCCAAGCCACGTCTAAGATTAAGGACTCCTAAAGATGGGCCCAGAAACGCCTGAGGTTTGACCGCTTTGGCCAGCGTGTCTTGGACAATGCTTGGAATGGATTCCATTGCTGCCTCTTCGCGTATGGCCAGACAGGCGTGCGGGCTTGGATCTCGGCCTTTTTTGCGGGAGGCTCCAAATCCTTAAGCCTTCGTCGCCAAAACCGTTTCCAAAACGACCGCAAGAAACTTCAAAAACGAAACAACCCTAAACCCTAAACCCTAAACCCTAACCCTAAACCCTAAACCCCAAACCCTAAACCCTAGACCCTAAACCCTAAACCCTAGACCCTAAACCCTACACCCTAAACCCTAAACCCTAAACGCTAAACCCTAAACCCCAAACCCCTAAACCCTAAACCCCTAAACCCAGAAGCCTCTGAAGACTGACCCCATGGCAGGGGCGGGGAAGAGCTACTCCATGGTTGGCCACTCGCCCTCTGCGGAAGGGGGGAAGGGACGGGGTGTAGGGTTTAGGGTTTAGGGTTTAGGGTTTAGGGTTTAGGGTTTAGGGTTTAGGGCTAAGGGTTTAGGGTTTAGGGTTTAGGGTTTAGGGTTTCGGCTTCGTGCGCCTTGGGCTCCCAAAACGCCTTGAAGCGCCCGGACCCCCAAACCCTAAGTTGAGCCTGTTTGTCATGCTGTCGTCACTGCTGTCATCATGGTCGTGCCTTCTTTTGTGTGATGAGGGCGCGTGGTTTTTGTTGTATACGCAGATGCAAGTATGTTCTGCACACACTTCTTTCTTGTGCTTTATTTTTCAAGTCTTTTTTTGGGCCTTGGATGTTCGTTGTTGTTTTTTGTGGGGAGGCTGAGGGTTGAGGGTTGGAGGCCGGCCCTTTGAACTTCGGTTTCGCGTGGGGTCTTGGGCTTGGCCTCAAGCCCTTAACCCCCCTGAGCTCTGAACCCAAGGTTAGGGTTTAGGGTTTCGGGTTTCGGGTTTAGGGTTTAGGGTTTAGGGTAGGAGACTCGTAGGTTCATGGGTAGTTCATTCAACACCTTTTGTGATTCAGGAGCCGTACACCCAACCCTGAGCTTGAAACCTGGAAATTGGCATGTTCCCCCTTGCACTGACAGTCCTTAGTAGGGATTATAATCGGGGCTACTATAATCCCTATTAGGGAGTCTTCGCATAAGGGGGCACCAATCCCTGAACTGGCCCTGAACGCTGCACGCCCCAAACGCCCCAAAAGGCTGCGCCGGTTGTGTTCGGTCCAAGGTTATGGCAACAACAAGGGAATTGTGCCTATCTCATGCGAGGACAGGCTGTGTTTCACTGATGGTGTGCAAGGTTTAGGGTTTAGGGTGTAGGGTTTAGGGTTTAGGGTTTAGGGTTTAGGGTGTATGTAGGTGAACCTGAGGGGGCTACTGCATGGTGGGTCGGGCTGTCGCATGGTCAGGTATCTACAGGCTTTCGGGCTCCTCGCTCCTGCCTAGGGCATGCAGC